AAGTTACGAATATGAAGAAGGGGGAAGTATATAATGAGATCATTTATCTCTGGTAGAAGGTAGTCACAATTATTCTTGAACATTAGATATGAAATTGGGTGGTTCAAAGTTCTAAAGAAATTTGTTTGAACTTTGTGACACACTCAAGCTATCAGATTTCACATTGGATGATTGTAAGTAATTATGACCTCCCTATACCAAAGGTAAATGGTCTCATTGTATAAAATCCCAAAAAAAAAAAAAAAAAAGTCACACCTCTCAAAAATAGTGCATCTTATAACATTATCTAGATGTCAAGATTTTGAAGTGCTTATAAATCTGTTTCGACTTGTACCAGTTTTGGAGCTTTTGAAGCTTCACAATTCAGGGTAAAATACTTTTCTAGACCATCATAAGGATTTATTATATTAACATTGGATCTTCAGATAAAGTTTGGAGGCACGTCTTGCTTTGATTATTTAAGGGGCGAGGTTTATGTAAGGCCTAGGCTTTATAAAAATAGAATAAAGCCTCGCCTCAAATCTTCATCCGGAAAGTACTTTCAGCGACAAAAATCTCTACGATGGTTTTGAAATCAATTTCCAATGCCCACAATAAAATTTGAAACTCAAAAAATAGTATAGATCTTGTGGATCTATGAAAATTTATTTTTAAAGCAAAATGGACTGGTCTAGATAATTTGTTACAATATACATTATTTTTAAAGCTTGAAATCCTTTTCTTTTTTTTCATTACTATAATTTTTAAGTAGAGATGATCGATGTAAAGGTTTGTTAATGCTTGAATTACAATTTTTGATGAGTTATGAAGTGGGGATTTACTTACTGGGTGTGGTTTATATAGAGTCGAGACTCTAAACAATCAAAATAAATCGCACCATCAAATAGTGTCAAGAAATATGGTTTCAATACTGGAAATCTATGTGCTAGCTTTAAAATATATTTTCATCTTTAATTATAAAATTTAAAGCTCCAAAAATAGTGTAAATAGAGCAGATCTATGAAAACTTGAAAATCATGAAAATTGACAATCCAAAAATGAGTTACAAGATGCACTATTTCAAAAACTTGAAATCCATGTTTTACTCATGTTCATGCATCTTGGTGTCAAGATGATCAATTTCAGGATATTTGGACATCAAAACAACCTCTTTTAGTGAAATATGTGAGGTGGGCTTTAATTTGATTGTTTAGAGACTCGGCTCTATATAAATATTTTCCGTATTTATTTTGATAGGGCTGCAGCCCAATCAAATCATTTTTTGACACCTTATACAAGCTGCACCCTAACCTAAAATATTGAACTATCAGTAATTGAGGTATATAGCTTCCATTGAGAATGGTCTTGGGGCCTTGACGGTAGTATTGTTGAGCTTCATGGTGGGGTCTTGGACTCCATCCTCATCAAAGGGTAGGGGCCTAAATCCCTACTGACTTACCACGTTTTTTGAGAATGGGGTTGGGGTTGTGGTGGTAGCACCACTTGTGCCCCAGCTAAAGTTTAGGCTTTCATTCTCACATAATGCATTAAAAAATGAGTAGGGGCTCCTTATCCCCGCTGAATTACCCAAAAAAAATTATAGCTTCGATAATATATCAGCGCAACATTCAATATATGACTTTTTTGAAATTTAAGAAATGCAGGAGACATAAATTATGTTGTCATTTTCTGTTATATCATTCTCTCTTTTTAAACTTCTGCCGTTAGATGTACGTTTTCTTGAATACATTAACAAGTAAATATCCAATGTTTTCGAAATAAACTTCTTCGTTTTACCATCCTTATCCATTGAATGCAATGTCTCCAGTAAAAAGAATTTGTTTGGCTTGAAGAATCACCTTCTTTCTTCCTGTTTTAAGAAACCCAACCCTCAATATATATCTTGCCTTTGATCGAACCCTTCTGTAGGATTTTATGATGGGTGCAGTTGGCATACGGATGCATCCGTAGCTGTAGAGGTAAGGTGCACTTCAAATTTTATCATGGTATATAATTTTGATGTAAAATGTTCTCAGGATTTTCTCAAAATCTATTTTTATATCTAATTATAAAATTTTAAATTTTAAAAATAGTTAAAATCAAGTAGATCTATCAACATACAAAAATCATCAAAATAGACGGTGTAGATAATATGTTGTAAAATGCACTATTTTTGAGATTTAAAATCTTTTTATTTTTCATGGTCATACATCTGGATGTCGAGATGATCGACCAAACGGTTTTTTAACATTAAAACTACCTTTTTAAATGGATTTTTTAGATGCATCCGTAGTTCTATATTATAAAGTTGCATCCTTATATATATCTTTTTTTATGTTTTTTATCATTTTGAAAAAGATTTTGCTCATGAATACTTTTATTTACTTTTTTCCTTATCTTTTAGATTATTTCTAAAATACTTCTAGTCATAAATTGATTTTTCAAAATCTATTTTTTCACTAATTTTATAATTTCTTTTAGATTTGTTTTGCTAATTTTATTTTAAATACATTTTTCATATTTTATAGGAATTGTTTTATTTTTTAACACTTTTTAGCCTAGCTGGTACCTGCCCGGCCTAGCCCAAGGCCAAATAGCATATCCAAGTCATGGTTTCCTAAACTGATTAATAATTTTACTAGCCAATAGCACATAGGGGTGGCAATGGAACCGGACCTGACCCAGGACCCAACGAGTATACTCAACATGGGTCGGGTATGTGTCTAGCATCTGGACCCGGCCGGTGGGTCCGAGTCCAGCTTGATCCTATCTATACACGTAAACTATTAAAGATAAAATACTTTACTTTAAGCTCTATTCATTTGGGTGTATTAATAATTAAATATAATTAAAACTAGTAGTCATCTTTAGTTATTAAACGACAAATCACACGGCTTGAAATATAATAGCGGGTGATTATGACCTTGTTGACAATAATACGAGTATATGATGGTAAATAAAGGACCAAAAAATAAATAAAAATAAAAGAAGCTCATAGTGACGGTGACAATGGACTCGAGACCCGATGGTGTAGACCCGAGACGCAGCGTGTAGGTTATGGGTCCAATTTTTGGACCCGATGGGTCGGGTCTGGGTCCAAAACCTGGACTCAAATCTATTCAGGTCTGGTTCTGGGTCCAACCGGACCCAATCCATACCCGACCCATTGCCACCCCTAATGGCACATGCATTGCACCAGTACTTTTAGTTGAGAAACACATTATAAAGTATTTAAATGTAAGAGTGATTTACGTACGGACCCTAAAATTTTAGGTAAAATACAAAATGGTCTGCTTATAGACTGAAATTACAAAGAAGTTCGGTCAACCATCATTTTAAAAATTTTCCAAAAATATCTCTCAGTTAGAGTGAATTTTCATTTTTTTATTTTTTTTTTTAGTTTTTTCATTAGTAGGGAAGTGCCCCATGCTGTAAGGGACTTCCATACTAATGAAAAAAACAAAACAAAAAAAAAGAGTAAAAGCAAATCAAAATTCGATTGATTGAGGGGCAATTTCGAAAAAAAAAAAAAGGGAGTTGACCGATCTTCTTTGTAACTTCTGCATATAAGTGGAGCATTTTGTATTTTACCTACAATTTTAGGGTCCATACGTAAATCACTCTAAAATGTAAACTAAATCCCTTATGTTCCATTTCTCAAATGGTATATGTATGTATCATTTTTTTATAAACCAATTTTAATATTACATTTCTGCACTCTAAAATGTAAACTAAATCCCTTATGTTCCATTTCTCAAATGGTATATGTATGTATCATTTTTTTATAAACCAATTTTAATATTACATTTATGCACTTGTATGCGTATCATATGCTAGCACATATTCGTGTGCTATGTAACATAGAATGCAGGGAGCAATATATGTGACATAATTAGCCATCAGAATCGAAGTCCATGCTTTGATGTATCAGTTCAAGATCTTCATAAATTCACCAATAGAATCTAGTTTCTTAGACATTGGAGTGTGGTAAATACCTATAGAAAATATAAATATACCTACACACAATGTAAATTTGAGTTTGCCTTCTCGAGCAAAAATAAAAACAATAAAAAAAAGGCATGCCAAACCATGGACAATAATCTCTATTAGAGATGCATTTCCAACCATGACATGAGTTTGTTGGACCTTTAAGACCCTGGGACTGCCACTCAAATGCTTTCACAAATTGTATTGAATTCTATCTACTAATGTTGAATTCTCTCCACATGAGAATTTTACCATATATGTCATTTAAGGAGCAGCTTTAAATTTTATCATAAATGTCGTTTTGATATAAAAAATTCTTAGGATTGGCTTGAAAATTTATTTTCATCATTAATTATAAAATTTTAAACTCTAAATATGGTTCAGATCAAATAGATCTATAAACACTTGAAAATCTTGAAAATGGACCGTCCAGGTAATGTGTTGCAAGATATACTATTTTGCATACTCGAAATTTTATTCTCTTTTCATATTCATACATCTCGATGTCGAGATAGTCAATTAGAGGGTTTTCCAACATCCAAACAAATTTTTATGATGGATTTTTTAGGTGCATATTTAATTCTACATTTTAAGGTTGCAACCGTATATAAACTTTTTCCTTTTTGGGTTAGGTAAGGATTGTTTTCTATATCAGCCACCTTAGGGAAGAAAAAGAAAATACATGAAACTTATAAAAAGCATGGAGAAAAAGGAATATGTGCATTATGTTTAATAAATTTAGAAAAAGGAGCATGTCTATCCGATAAGTGGATTAAGAATGAGGTTTGGCATCAAGAGCATAAATGACTAATAAAAAACTTTCAAAAAGGAGCGAATTCATTTATGTTGAACCCTATTTCATACCCCATATGATCCTACATGAGAACGCTTGCAGACAATTTAAGCAACATTAAATAAACTACTAGTAAAGCCTGAGTTATTTAGTCACATATAAAATGCAAAGACTAAATATTTTTCTTTTCTTTTCTTTTTTTTGACAAGAAAAAAGACAGAATATTTTTCATAGTTGGCAATGTTCAATGAATGTTACAAAATGGATGGGAGATCATAGCTGTAAGGGGAAAACGTCTCAGACAATGGATGGGGATTCTAAAGAGAGACCAAGAAGGCTTGATTCTCAGATAGAAGGAATTTGAAGAAAGAAATCTCTCTCTCTCTTCTCTCTACTGTGGGAGTGCATGATATTTTGCATGCACTTTGAACTCCACCACTACTAAAATGGTTTGTTTCATTATTTATCAGAAGAAAATGGTAGAAGCTAGAAACGAGCTTGCATTTGGAAAATGGCAAAACTAAAGAGGTGAAACCCAACTTATTTATGGAACAGAAGTCACAAGAATCTGCGTTTTTTTGGGGAGTTACGAATAAAAAAGTTGGAAGCTCAAAAGAGAGGAATTCAGACCCTGACAGAACCCCCAACCGTTACATGAATTTGATGCAGACAATTGAGAGAGAAAGAGAGAGAGAGGGAGTGGAACACTTACATGAAGAACCCGTGTGTCCTGGATGCACGTATTCAAATAGTCAACTCGATAACAGTTCTGCACACTACTGAAAACCAAGCAGCTCCTCCCCTTTCTACCTGACTCTCTCTCCCCTTTCTACCTGACTCTCTCTCTCTCTCTTGCTCTCTCTCTTACTCTCTCTCTCTCTCTCTTACTCTCTTACTCTCTCTCCATGCAGCACCCAACCAGGTGCTCCTGGAAAAGCCAATGACTCATCTTCATGTCCATTAAACCATGCAAATGGCATGCTTTCCTCAAATAAACACATGAATTATCATCATCAAAATCATTCACACCCATTTCCAAAATTTTCCACCCCTTCTTCCCTCTTTCAACCATGTAAAACCTCAGCCTCTTGATAAAGTTTATAGAGAGAAAAATATTGAGAGAGAGAGAGAGAAGTATTTGCCAACTTTTCTCATCTGTAACTTGAAACCCAATTTCTCTCTCTTAAAACCCCAATTCCTTTATGCCAACAGCATCCCGACCACCACAAACCCTAGTTCCCTCCTTTTGTTGAAACTCAAACTAGAGAGAGATCAAGATAGTAAAATTTCTGAATAAAACTGAGGGAGAGATGCCAAGATATAGGAAATTCTGATGAGAAAAAAGAGCAAATATATGAAGAGAAAGAGAAATGTAAATCATCCCTCAAAACATCCTTACCACAAATCTAAGAACTGCAACACTCCTCTTTGTCAAGTCATGTGAGAGAAAGAAGAGAGAGTTAGCTCAAAGGGCAGAGAGAGAGGCCGGGTTCTCAATAAGGCGGTCGGCCACCTGCCCAACCATAAGCCTCCGGCGGCAACTGACTGCTGTTGGTAAAATTGGGTAAAAGCCCATGAAACAAAGCTCCATTTGGATCCCCCAACATCTGTTGCTGCTGCGGCTGCGACTGAGCCTCCGGACTCGACTGAGACCCACCCATCCCACCACCGCCGGGAAATTGCAATACAGCCTCATCCTCATCCAAAGGCAACCTCTCAAATGCAGCGTTCCCAAATGATGCTGCCATAATGATGACCGGCCCCGAAGCCAACAGCGCACCCACCACAGTGCCTCCCACCACCTGGCCTTGCCCTCCTGCGAGATATATTGTCAAACCGGTTGCCGCCGGCGGTCCAGGTGGCGGCAGGAACGACCCCGACAGTGAAAGGATCTCGAAGCGACCATGGAGCGTCACTATGGCACCGGGTGCCGCCGGCTGCCGCAGCGTGACATTGGTGACGGTGCCGCTCCCGCTCAGTATGCACACCCCACGCTGCCGGCGGCGTGCATAGTTAGCAACACTCTCCACGATGTCGCACCCGCTCGCCACCTCCATCACATGCGACCGGAGTGCGTTGGCGCTGTCCCGGGTGATGATGATTGGGGGCCTCGGCTTGTTCTTTGAGCCTGCTGGTCGTCCCCTTGGCCGCCTAGTTACCTCGCCTTCTCCTCCTGTCTGTTGCACCTCCATGTTCTGGCTGCTGTTTTGATTCTCTTCATTGTTGCTTGTCGGGGTATTCGGATCTCGATCTCGCTTTATCCCTCTGTTGAGATCACTGCTCCGGCTTTGTTCTTCTTCGGAGTTGTGGTGGAGGTGCTGGTGGTGGTGATGGCTATGGAAATCTCTGGTGTGGAAGGGAGGGGGGAGCGAGAGGCCATGACCTGATGCAGTAATTGGATCCATTCTCTCTCTTTCTTCCCTCTGTCTCATATATTACACATGCTCCCCTCCCTCTGTCTCTCCTTTATGGGAGAAGAAAATTGGAAAGCTCTCTCCCCAATTTGATAAGAAATCTCACTCTCTATATATCAATATTCACAAGATTGCGATTCTCTCTCTCCAATTTGATGAGAAATCTTTCTCTAGTCAGTTGGCTTTTCAGATGATGGAAAACCCCTCTCCTATTTCATGAGAAATCTCTCTCTCGGGTCTCTAAGCTACCTTCATTAAATTAGAGATGATAGAAAACCATTTCCAAGGAAAGAGATTACCCATCTTCTAAGTCCGCTACCACTTTCCGATCTGTTACAAAGTGAAATTAATCTCTTAGTAGAGCACCCTTCTTCTGTTTTTAGAGAGAGAGAGCATTTACACATCTTACATGGGATGCATCAGTTATAGGCTTATAACTTCCTTCACAAATTTCAACAGTTAAATGGAAAAATACACAAGAAACTCATAATATAGAAAGAGAAGAAAGATAGGACCAAGAAATTCTCAGCCTAGGGAGAGAAACAAACACTCGGCGGTCTGTTTGATCCTTGAGTTACCTGTTAGAGAGAGAATAAAGTAGCATCCAAGGAAGCTGGACTAGAGAGAGAAGAGAGGTGCATCTGTAACCTCAGGAAAGGAAAGCAAAACTACTTCCTCACTGAACCTATCCATCTTTCTATCTGCGCCAAAAAGTCTTCTTCCCAAAAGCGATTTAGAGAGAGGAGACTTTGTGTTGGTTAGTGTTAGGGTTAGGGTTTGGAATTTGGTTTGGGACTTGGGGTTTGGTTTGGAATTAGGTTAGGGCTGACGGGTTAGGTTTTGGTGAGACAGCCGTGCGCATGGCGGTGCGTGGGCCCCTTCTCTCTCACACACCCTTTCTTCCTCTCAACTGCACTCCCCCAACCTTCTTCAATCACTTTCTCTCTCTATAAGTTCTCTCTCCCTCTCTCTCTCTCTAAATTCAAATTACCTGTTTCTTTTATGACAATTTCCATGCTTCACTATCTCTTATAAGTTAGAATTACTTTCACTATAACTGTCATAGTATAACGATTATTCTCAGACTCTCCAATCTTTAATAACTAACCATCCAATGTCCCTCTGAGTTCTCAGTTTTCCTCACCTAGAGAGAGAGAGAGAGGTTTCTTTCATTTGGACATTAACATATCAGGTACACAATCTTCCTCAAGATGCATTCTCTTTCTCGAAATTTCTGTGCTTTCTTTAGGAAAACTTTTTACACCTTTTTATTTTTTATTATTTTTCCACTAAAAGAAAAAGAAATAAAGAGTGGGTTTGATCAGTTAAGGCCTTCATCACTTGACCTTTAAATATAAGAGTAATTTATTTACGTACACACAAAAAATTTAGAAAATACGAAATCGGCTAATTTTGGTCGAAAATCATACGGAAGATCTACTTTTTTATTTTTTTTCAAAATTAGGAAACTATGAAATGGGCCATTTTTTTTTCTCGTTAGTAGGGCAATGCCCTAGTGTGACGGGCAGTGCCCAATCCAAAAGGCAATCCGAGATTGGCATCTTTGGACCGCCTTATTTCTTAGCAAGCAAATGAGTTAATGTGATCCGAGGATGCCAACCTCGGACCGCCCTGAAGAGCACCAAAGAATGCGGTCCGAGAATGAGCAACTCTGACTGCCTCTGAATCCTTAACAAAATTAGTCTTTGCAGTCCAAAGATGCCAACTTTAGACCGCTTTGAAGAGCACCACAGAAGGTGGTACGATGATGCTAACATCGTACTGACTAGGCACTGCCCCCAAAACAATAGGGCACAACCCTATTATCGAAAAATAATAAATATTGAAAATAAACCTCAAGTTGACCAACCTTCCATGTAGTGTTAACCCAAAATTGGCTCACTTCGTAATTTAATAAATATTTTTCTTTGTATCCACACGTTGTCCACTCTAAAAATAAATATTAAAATTTTTGTTCGTAAGAAACATAAAAACACATATAAGAAACTTAAAAGAGTTCAAGTTACAAGACCCGCATAAAAAAATAAACATAAATTTCTAGTTCAAATAAATAAATAAAAATAAATAGTTTGCTGGTATATAAAACATGAAGGGTGATAATTTTATATGGCACCCTCCTTCTACCATATAAGTAAGGCGCACATTTAAATTTTGCCTAGAGATGTAGTTCTACTATCAAAATTTCATTATGGTTTAAAAATTTATTTTTATCTTTGAATATAAAATTTAAAATTCTAAATTGAGCAAAACTATAAACACTTGAAATATTGAAAATAGAAGCTCTAGACAACATGTTACAAAATGCATTATTTTAGAACTAAACATATATTTTTTCGATCATATCCATACATCTTGAGATCGAGATGATCAATTGAAAAAATTTTCAATGTCGAGCACTCTCTACTAGAGAATTTCGAAGGTGCACCTTACTTCAATAAAATAATATAAAGTTGATGCCTTATATTAAGTATTTCCAAACATAAAAAGATATATTAAAGCAAGTTACAAAGAACTTAACAGAGCATTTTAATTGTTCTTTAAAAATATTCGTACATATTTGGCAAATATAGGGGACATAAAGAAGTCAAATTTATTTGGAAAAAAGAATAAATTTTCAAGATTTATAAAAGGAAAAAGTTTATACGGAGCCAATTTATAAAAACTTATGAACTTCTTTTCAAGGAAACCACTTAATCAAGTGGTCCAATCTTGAAGGAGGAGCGGACTAGAAAACCATTAAATTAACATTGTCTTAAAGCTTCATAGAGACCACAGAGTCAGATTAAATAAAAGAGTTGCAGGTTTAGATTTCCAATGCGAGTTATAAGTGGCCAAAGCTGATAAATGATGGTATGTAGTGTGGGTACCTGAAAATCTGGGAGTTACCATGAAGGGTTATCTTTTGATTTGATTTTTTAGAGAGAGAGAGGTAATCTTTTTTAGAGGGGTTATCTTTTGATTTTTTAGAGAGAGAGAGAGAGGTATATTTTGATTGTTAGAGAGAGAGAGAGAGAATAGAGAGAGTGGTATTCTTTGTTATTGTTAGTAGAGAGAGAGAGAGAGTAGTAGTTAGTTAGTTAGTTTAGTAGAGAGAGAAGAAGTAAGAGAGAGTAGTAGTTAGTTGTTAGTTAGTTAGTTAGTAGAGAGAGAGAGAGGTAGTATTTATTTAGTTAGAGAGAGAGAGAGAAATAGAGAGATGGTAGTCTTTTGTATTGTTAGTAGAGAGAGAGAGAGGATTGGAATATGCAGGTGTGTGCATGTGGGTTATGGGAAATTGGAGTTGGCAGATGATGATAATAGATGGTCACAGATTGCTATGCGAGAGACTTCCAACCTGGACCGCCCATCAATCTACCATTGCCAATTTCCTTTACTTAACTCTCTCTCTCTCTCTTCATTTGACCAGTCAAACTTTTCAAAATATTCTCTCTCTCTCCCCAACTTGTTTCAACCAATCAAAATTCACGTGATTTTGCTTTTCTCTCCCCCATAACTTGATTCAACCAATCAAAACTCACCTGATTTGGCATCTCTCTCCCTCCGCAATAATATGCTTCAGGCAAATATTTTGCTTGCATCGTGCTATTATCTTGAGTAATTTAGGTACGATAAATAAAACAAAAAATGGGCGGATTTTGTATGAAATTATAACGAAGATCGGTCAACCTGTGCATTTTAAAGTTTGCCCGATAGTAGGTGGCAAATCCGGAAGGCAATCCAAGGTTGGCATCTTTTTACCGTTTTATTTTTTAACGTACAAATGATTTAATACGGTCCGAGGATACCAACTTCAGATTTTTTTGAAAATCACCAGAGAAGGCGGTTCAAGAATGGGTAGCTCGAACCACCTCTGAATGCTTAAGAAAGTCAACCTTTGTGGTATGAGGATGTCAACCTCGGACCACTTTGAAAAGCACCACAAAAGGTGGCCCGACGATGCTAACATCATACTGACTAGGCACTGCCCCGGTTACAACCTTACTACCAAAAAAAGTCAAAAAGAAAAAAAAACAGAAAGCAAAATGATGTCTGAGGATACTATCTTGGGACTAAAGAATAATTTTGAAAAAATAAAAACCTGAGGTTGACACCTTCTATGTAATCTTAACTCAAAATTGAGGCATATTAGTATTCTTTTTGTGTCCGTATGTAATTCACAAATTATCTTAGGCTACTTTCTATTTTTATTTCACGAACTTTACATCTTAACCTATTTCATATTTGTTGTGACATGCAATTCCTGGTCCTTTTGCATGTTTTGTTTTCTAGTACGGCTCCAGAAGCCGGACACATGAGATTATTATTTTGGTCAAAATAGCACTAAGTGTTAAGTGAAATAGAGCCAAGAGACAAAACTTGGGTTCTTCTCCCAAGTCTTTTATTTCCATTCCCAAACAAAATGTGGCCACTTGACATTTTCTTTAGCAAGAAAATTTTCCAACACATTGTGCACATTTGGCTTGTTGAATCTATAATCAATTATCAAGATGATATGTAGTAGACTTCTAGGAGAATATTAATGACTATCAATGTTTAAAACCCTAGATCGATCGGTAGAGTGAACCGGCAATCTAAGAAACCAGTCCGATTCAACGAATCACTGATTCGGACCAACGATCTGGCTGAGTGAATCAGTCAGTAAAATTTAAAAAATTAATTGAAAAAATAAGAAAAATTAAAATGTGCTATCAAATAATTGGTCGTTTCCTAGTGGGAACCGCACAGTTCCTGATATCCGCAGGTAACCGAGATGGCTCCATCGACCGATCCGACCTGCCTATTATCTAACCAACTGGTCCAACCAGAAGACCACTTAGACCCAAATTGGTAAGGGGTGTTTAAAAGCGAGATCTATAAAATTTTAAAATATATTTTAAAACATTTGGTAAATTTATTAAATTAGATCTATGATGCAAACTATTTAACATCTTACCTATACTTTTTTACACCTTTGATATGAACTATTTAACATCTTATCTATACTTTTTTTATCGAATTTTATTTTGTCCAACATTACTGTGTTGATCAAATTTCAAGTAACCCATAAAATGAGATTTTGAAATTTATCAAAGTACAATTACGTAAAATGTAACTAGTTCAAATATTTAGTGTATTTTGATAAATTTGCCGTACATGTTTTACCCATTTTTCCATCAGTTCAAACAAAAGGTCTGAGTCAGGTCGTATAGGATTTTTCATATAAACTTGGATAGTTCACCTAAAACCTCTCTCACCTAAAACCTCTCACACACAAATAGCTATATCTACCAATATTATCCTTTTTTTTTTCTTTTCTGAAGGTTAATTATTAATTGCGAACTTGATGGGTCCTCGCATCATTTTTTCTTCTAAGAATTTATTAAATTACTCATAAAGTATGTACAATTTACCACTTCACCTATATCTTTCAATTTTAATTTCAAAATGCTTATAAAAAAACACACGATCTTGAGTTGAAAAAATTGCCAATCAGTATTATATTAAATAGTTTATCTTTAATGAGTATTTTGATAAATTTCTCCTCCTCTAAACGATAACTCAAGTCACATGTGGGAATGAAATAATTCTAGACATCATTTTGTGGCACTCTACTCTAACCAATCAAGCCTAGAGGTCTATCCCTTTGTTCTTACCACATTGGTTCTTATATCCATCCCTTTCCTCACATTGTTTCGTACA